CAAGAGTTCGCTCCTGTTCCTCAAACGTCCCCCATCCCGCTAGACTGGCAGTAAGTCGTTTCTCACCATCCTCATAGTTTTTGAGATAGTAATCCGGGCCGGGGCCCCCGCGGCTTTTCGCCGGGTTCCTCAGGTTCTGGAACTGCAGGAAGTCGGTCCTTTTGCCCCCGAAGCGCAGGAAGGCGGGCGAAAGTCCCCGAGCCAGGGTCACCAGACGCTTGGAGCTGCAGGGGTACAGAAAGAGAGAGAAAAGGATCCGGGGTGAGGAGAGGCGACCCGGAGCGGAGCGCCGACCACGGCTCTCTCCCCACTCTCCGAGAGCGACCCGGCCGAGGCTACGGGCCGTGTCAGCCCCAGCCCGCCACCCGCGCGGGCCCCGGCGTCTCGCGTGCGCCTGGCTCCCCGGGCTACGCCTCCTGCGCCCAGCCGGCCGCGGCCCCCTCCCTCAGACAACCCGACGCCGCTCGCCAAAGGTACTTCTTCCCAGTCGGTTAGTCTGTTTTTGTTAATGCAGTGCGTGTGGGGGGCCGAGGGGGGGGCACTTCTGCTGAGAACACGGGGCTTGGGCGCAGTCGCCCAGCTTCTGCCACTGCCGGGAAAGCGCTCCTGGCGGAGACGCGCAGCGCGTGGACTGCAGAGCTCCGACTTTTGCCAAACTTACAGGCTGGAAGCCGGAATCTGCATCCCCTGCCCCAGGGGCACTGCAACCTCAGTGGTGAAGGTGAAACAGGCCTCCTTTCTTTCAGAGCAGGTACCTGAGGTCAGGGTGGTTCTTTTTTTAATGCTAAAGTTGATCTTCCTTTACTACTACTGTCGTGTAACAACTGCATCCAACTCCCTAACACTGGGCGAGAGACTGCCGGGGTAAATCCCTGCTTTTCTGAGAACTTTCCCCATCTGGGCTTTGCACGGTAAAAGCAATGTCTCTTTGGCCCCTTAAAAAATTCAGCCGGCTCTCAGGAGGGGTAACATCCTCCTCTCCACTCTACTTCAACTCCATCTTTTTCGTGGCGCCCTTTGGAAGCCAACTCTTGGAAAAGTGAAGTTTGCCGAAATGTGGACCTGCTCGTCTGAGGGCACTCGAGGAGCATCAGAACACCAGCATTTACGTTTATTTAGCTTCAGGATTTCCATAAGTAAGCAGTTTTAAAAGCCAACCGCTACTTCAGGAAGGGGTGGCGAAGGAGCAGTGCAAGTGCTCTTAGCACCAAAGAATTTGAATCTGGATCTGTAAGTTATTTTTAACGCTTTGCTGGCTCAGGTTCTGAAAATCCAAATCCAAATGGAGAAATTACAGAGGATCATAACGGAGGTGGGTATGAGAGAAAAAAGCTGGGGACTCCAATTTCGGAGAGTTCCTGAAAGCCGCGCACTGCCACACCGAGAAGTCCGGTGGCCGGGAACGTCTGGCGAAGGACTCCAAGACTGCGTTCTGGGGAAGGCGCCGGCTGGGCGTCGCGCGGGCCCGCGGCGGGCAGAGGCCTCGGCACGGGTGCGGCCCCGCGGAAAAGGCATTTCCAACCACCGTCCGTCCGGAAGCCTGTACAGCTAACGCAAATGCGCCCCGCCACGGCTTCTTCCCCGAAAAGCTTCCTACCAGAATCCTTTCTGCAGCAAGCATTTAACAAGATGGTTTAAAAAGAAAGGAAGGTAGGAAAAAGAAGCCTGGGGGCGTCCGCGCAGCTGGACTAGTGCAGTGCAGGTAGGCGTGTATTTCGGAAAACCCCGTCGCCCCCCACCAACACACGAGCTTAGAGACGCGCTCCGTTGCAAGGGCCCGAGGAGGACGCCGGGCGGCGCGGAGCTATTCCCGCCTTCCCAGCGGAGGCACGGGCATAAACAAACGACCGCAGCGGCAGCAACACCAGCCGCTGATCCTCCTGCAACGCTCGCTCCACGTGGAAAGAGTGCTCCACGTGGAAGGAGTGCTCCACGTGGCGCCTCCCGCTACCTGCCGCGTCCGCTGACCCTGCCGAGGCCCCGGCGGTCCCGCACAACCGAAGGGCGAGAGCGCGCCAGCACCAAAGCGGATTTCGAAAGGAGTGAAAGATACTCACGAAAGACGCGCGGCGGACGCGGCCTCCCGGCAGAAGAGTGGGACTGGGAGAGCGCTCAGGGCTCTTCGGGAGAGACCACAGCTGAGACTCCCATTCGGAGGGAATTTTTAATAACTCAACACTTGGATTCGACATTGCAGACGATTTATTTATTTTTTGCACTGCAACTGTCCCTGATAAGTTGTCTAACTGCTACACAGTAACAACCCAGGGAGAGAGTGAGCCCAATTAGATTCCCAGCCCTTGAATAAGAGGGGAGTCCATGGTACAAACCACGGGGTTCGGTAATCCGCTGGTGCCAGGTTCAGACCTCTGAAACATCCCCGGAGTATTTCTAGGACCCTTTCCGCTCTGCTTATATACCCTATCACTGGAGCGAGAATTTTTTTTTTTTCTTTAAAGAAAAACCAAACTATGCAGTTACCGCAGGAGATTTAAGGAGGAGGGACTGGGGGGCCATTCGGTCTATAAAAAAAGCCTCTTACAAAGTCCTGAAGTCTGGAGAGGACAGCGGAGTATATAAAAGAAAACTTAAAATATCCGATCTAACTTGCCCACCGCTCAAGCCTCTGCCTAAATTCGTTTTCTGTCTGGGAGTGGGAGAGAACGGACAAATCGATCTTTTCGTGGAAAATTCCACTTTCGTGCTATCCCCCGCTTGAACACTCACAGACACACACAGGCACACACACGCACCCATTCCTCTCGGGTCTTTGTTGCTCGAGACCTTTTCTTCACTTTTGTAACTGCCCTGAACCTCTTGTTTCTTTTTCAGAAGGAGACAGGGAGGCTAATTGTGGATATATGTAAGCACAACATTTTTTCAGTCATAACTGATAAGTTTCTGAAATGCCTTCTGCATTGCAAACATGTGCATCTTAATAGAAAACATTGCTTTTCTCAATCACCAGTTAAAGCCTCACAGCAAATATTCCAGGAGAAGGAAAACCTCTTTTCTTCTCTTTGTGAGATGCGCTTGGCTTATTTTCTTCTTCTTCTTCCCCCTTTGGAATGGGGGGTGGGGGGTGTTACTTAAAAAAAAAAAAAAATGATCCATGGAAGCCCCTGCCTTACCTTAAGAAATCGAGCCAGCCATCATGAATGATGGACGGATCCAGCTGCAGAGAGAGGAAGTTCTCATTGACTGTCCTGACTGGGTTCTTGGTGCTCACATCAAGTAGAATCAGGGTCTTTTCCTTCAAACCTGGAGCTCTGTCTACAGGCAAGGGTCTCCTGTCTCCAGCTTGGGAGGAAAGGGAGAGATGGAGCAACAGAGCCAAGAAGAGAGCCACCGGGGCTAGGCACGAGGGGGGGCGGGAGTTGCTAGAGGGCATGGCTTCAGGGAAGGCACAGAGCACCCTCATTAAATCCCTCTGATTTAAACCTCTCTTCCTACAGGGTCTCACTGGTGACTAATTGTCCTTATCTAAAGTGTGTGTCTGTCTGCCTCCCCCCCCCCGTTTTTTTTCCTTTCCTTTTTTCCCCCCTCTCTTGCTCTCTTTCTCTCTCTCTCTCTTTTTTTTTCAGTGTTTTGGTGCTGGTGGAGCGAACTCACGCCCCTAGCCAGCCTTCTCAGCGACTCGTGCCAAGAGTACTCGTTCACCAGCACCGCCCCTTTAAGAGATTTCAACTGCAGACATTTTTTAACTTTTTAAAGGTAAGGGGGTGGAGGGGGGAGGCGGGAAGTAGGAGGAAGGGGTGGCGTTGTACCCTCCTGATTTAACCCTCTAGGGTCAGGAAGCGGAGAGATAGATCGAAACTGTGTGGTTGTAACGTTTTGGGTACGGGGCGGGACGTCTTGGTTTTACTTCCCTCCCAGGGAGGCTCTGGGGAGGGCGGTTCTAGCTTCCATCCCGACAGGAAAGCCCCAGCGCCAGCCCTGGGCGCGCTGGAGTAAAGATTGCGCACTCGCCGTGCGCCTGTTTCTCCGGACAGCATTTCATCCGCGCTGGGCCCTTTCCTTTTGGTTGAGGCAGCCACAGCTAGAGTGGTTAAGTTGCAAAGGGGGTCCTGCGGTAGCGATGGTGATTCCTGCCAGAGCACAGAGTGCACTTCATGGACACAAGTATGGACCTCTGCGACGTGCTGGGCAGCCACACAGAAGCATCCTCTGACCTCGTTAGGAAAAACAGTGGCCAGAAGGAATACAAAGAACGACCAGGTCAAAGGGCTTATCCGCCGGTAGGGGCAAAGGGCCCAGGCTGCGCATGGCTCCGTTCTGACTGCAGCCAAGGAGAAAGTGTCTTGGGGACTTCAATATACGCTGACTTAGTTCAAGTCAAAGCCACTTGGTCGGTGCTTGGATATTATGGGCGGGGCTTCGCCCATCTGAGCCAAGGCTTGGCCACTCCGTTGCACAAGCCCATTTAGACTTGCTCTTCCAGTCCCTCCAGTCCCTCGACCACGGGCATCCCTCCTGCATGGAAGTGCGACTTTATGGTGAGGGAAAGGAACAGAGTAACACAGCAGGGTTTTCAAACTCAGCCAGGAGTCACAGTCAGTGTCCGACCAGACATAGTCCCTGGATGCTCCAGAACAGCCAGGAGCCTCATGGTACACCACCGGCCCTAGCTCACAGACCCTGACCCACACCTCTCAGGCAGAGCCACGGGTCCCATACCCAAGCACAGGGTGAAAAGGCCCAGTTGGCTGTAGTGACATGGTTGGGCCCCACTTTCAACTTCTTTCTGGAACAAAATGAGCCTTCTACTTGGTAGATGAAGATCACTATTCTACCCACAATGGGTATGCATTAGCATCCCAGGGCCTCCAGACGTCAAACAGGCAAAATTCTAAAATGCAGATTCCCCAAATGTGGATGTGCAAATGGCAGTCTCAGAGACCACAAAAACTGAAATAGCAACCTGTCTCCCCTTCTTTCCCCCCAGACAGGATTCAGGAATCTGAAAAGGGCTGGAATATATGACCTTCAGCTGAGGTTCCCTGAGGAGATTCTTTCAAACCAAGCAACAAAGAAATACAGAGGTTAGGTTGGGTTAAACTGGGAAGTGCCATGAAGACCTCATAGAAGTAGACCAGGATAAAATAAGGCCAAAGGAGAAAGAAAATCCAAGGCATATTATTTAAAGATGATTTTAAAAACCAAGATGTTACACCGAACTATTACATGTAGGCTTCGGCCCTTAAGGCCTACCTGCTTCTTTTGGTTCCTGAAAATTTCTAACACAACTAAATCCTTTAAAATTTAAAGGATTTAAAGGGGCGCCTTGGTGGCTCAGTCAGTTGAGTGTCTGACTTTGGCTCAGGTCGTGATCTCACGGTTGATGGCTTCAAGCCCCATGTCTGGCTCTATGTTGACAGCTCAGAGCCTGGAGCCTACTTCAGATTCTGTGTCTATCTCTGCCCCTCCCCTGATCATGCTCTGTCTCTCTCTGTCTCAAAAATAAAATAAATATTAAAAAAAAATTTTTTTAAGATATGTATGTGTTTCTTGTGTGTGGGTGTATGGTATGGTGTAAGTTCCAGTAAAAATTATTGTAATTTTAAGATGTGTACTGAGTACCTCCTTAAGATGGTGACGGCCTGGAGCAGATTTTTATTTATCTTTGTATCTCAAGACCCAGACATTTAGCAGCCACTCAATAAATGTCTATGAAATAAATTAATGGTAAATCAAATCATGCTCAACACACTAAAATCATGTACTGCTTTCAGGAAGAAATAAATAAGAAAATAATATGACTTTTACTTGTCACAGTACCTTTGTTTTAGATTTCTGTTCAGTAATTTGTTTTCCCAGTTATTAGTATTTTCTGGTCAACTCCTTTAGGAAATACTTATCTTACAAATTCAGAAGCCATTGGTTTATTTGCTATAATCAGAATTAAAACCAATTCTTTATGTTTAACAAGGAGTCAGATTTTCCAAGGGCCAAAACACACCCTGGCTTACAAGTGAATGTACTTTTAGAAACCACATTCATTGGGACCAGAGGACAACCACATAAATGAAACAGATCACTCACCTACTAGATGTGTATAATTAACGTACCTTTCAAAAATATGTACTCTTAGGGCTCCGGATGAACTTGGGATCAATGAGAAACTGCTTAATTATTAACTTTATCCATGATTTTTGCTTACTTACCCAACTATTCTATAATTGTTTGGTGTCCTAGTTACTTTAACCACTATTTAACGTTCTCATCAGAACCTGTATGTAGTACAAAAATCAAAACCAACAAAACCGTGATTTTTTTAAAAAATTCCTGATGAAAACCGTCTTCTTTAGCCATTGAAATTCTAGTCATATACAGCCTCAGGACATCAAGGCAAAGAAAGCAATTCAGTAACATTTAAGGAGTTCCAGATAGCCCTGGTTGACTCCAAGATGACCTGATTGTTTGGTCCTTTGGTCTAGTGTAGATAAAGATCTTCATAGGGCTACACTTTCCAAAGAGCCTCCCTTCCCTATATCATGGTTTTTGTCTTACTTCCCATCTAATCCTAAATTATATGCTGTAAGTAGCTCATTATTAATCTGTATATTAGATTGGTTTCTACCTTAGTTTCTATGTGCTGAGTGGCAACCACCTGTACCTCTGTTCTGTCTTAAATTGTAATTTCCTAGGGGACAAGAATTGGGCCTCAGTATAAAATATGAATTATTGTGAACTAGATGCATCTCCTTGGAAATGCTCTTCCTGATGTTACTGAATGGTCCTCATAGATAAATTCCTTTGATATCTAGGAGTCTAGGTTCCCAAACCTGTAAAAAAATCTTGAAGATTAATTTGCTCAGTGATTTCTAGACTGTTTCAAAATAAATATTAGTGGAGAAGAACTGATATATATTTGCCAACTTTTTATTTTGTCTAGCAAGGACCTTAAAAAATCTATCAACTATTTACCACTATTACTTCCCAAAAGAAAAAAAAACATTTAACAGCCAAAAAAAAAGTTGAAATGGTATTTCAAAAATAAAAAGCAAGTGTTTAAACTGAATAAATTTAGCTTCATGAAAAATCACTACAGTATTTTTGTCATTTCATCTCAGACCAATAGAGATATGCCAGTGACCAATATGGTACCAGGACTAATGACTGGGACTAATGCTATACCCTGTGTTTATGGCCAAATTCTACTTTATAGTATACAGTATTGCTGCAAGATGTGCGTGCTTTTTAATGATGGTCATCTTTACTACAGTAATTTCCACCCATTTTTCCTATGCTTTTTTCAGCCTCTCACAAACTCACTGACTCTAAATGCCACCTCCCTTTCTATTAAATATTCAGAGCTATAGTTATGTCTATACTCATTTTCCCCTTCTGGAAGAACTATACCTAGATTTCAAATAACAAGAAAAAATTCTTGCCACAGTAACTGCGACTGAGAAGCACTCTGAAGTTATAGCAGCCAATCTGCTGTCTCATCATTGCCTGTAGACTTGTTCATGATGACTTATTTATTCAGCTCTTGTGGTCACACCAGGGTACCCAGAATTATACACATGCTATTTTAATCTTCTCAAAAAACTCTGAGAGGCAGATATAATTCATTATTATACATAGTTTACATATGAGAAAATTGACTCAGAGATATTAAGCAACTTCTCATGACGCTGCCAGTAAGTGGTAGCAAGAATTGAAACCTAGGGCTACCTGACTCCAAAGCCTATGTCTGTGTTCCTAACCAACACATTCTACTGTAAGTGGCTAAAATGTTGCATACCCTTTAACAACTTGTTAATGTACGGTGGAAAAAACCTTGGACTAGGAGTTGGAAGACCTGAGTTTAAGTCCTGACTTTGCCAGACCCTAGCTTTGTGACCTTGAGTAAAATTTTTAACTGTTGTGTCAGCTGCCTACCCTGTAAAACTAATATAATACCCTAGAGTAAGAAGCAAATAAGGTTATATATGGAGAAAATGTTTTATGAATTCCAAAATATTATACAATTGTGCTATTGGTTTCTTGTTATCTCTTACTCCCTTTCCCCCATACTTGCCACAAATACATCCCCTTAATTGATGACTGAGGCAAGAATTTATATATAAAGAACTTAGTGATAAAGTTGAAACAAAAGGTCAACTCTAATAATGATGTCAATAAATGCAGAAATCAAACAAGTACATACCACATAGTTTAACCATGCAGACACTTCTGCCTGTGACCAGCATCTGAAAAAGGAAAAAAAAGAAGTTAAGTTTTACATGCCTTCTTCGTTTTTTCGCCAGGACAGGAGAAAGCAAAGGAGTGGACAAAGGACAGTGCTAGGGAATAACAAAAGTTGTCTCTGTCATGCTTAGAGGAACAAGGGATAACAATACTTTCTCCACATGGAAAGTTGAAAAGGAAAGGAATTTCAACACTATGATTGCTCTACCTCATTATATACATAAA